AACAATAGTCGTCGGTTTGTTGACAACAAAATTAAAGGTAGCAAGTGTGCAAGGCAATGGGGAGAAAACAGACTTAGGGCTGAAGAGTGAATAAAATAAACTAAGAAGAAGAAGAAGACAGAAAAGCACTAAAGTTGGAGAGAATGATTGGCGGCAAAATAGTGATGCTAATAAGGGCTTAAGGGTTATAGGTAGGAGTTAGTGCTTAATGGGTTAGGAGCTTAGGGTTGAAAGTGAGAAAAAAAAACATCTAGAAGAAAGGAGGAGATGTCAAGTAGCTTAAGGTAAAACACTAAAACTCTTGAAATTAGAAGCATAAAAAATAACTATAATATATATAATTAGATATTTAATTGAGTTGGTAGAAAAATTTTCCATCGGCAACCAACTGAATAAACTAAAGAAACCAAAGTCCCAAAATAGGATACCCGAATACTCAAATACCTTATTAACTTGACTTATTTGACTCGAATTGAATTTGTGGGTCTTGCTCACCCCAACTCATATTTTTCTGTTTTTAAGAGAAAATGATATACTTATATAAATTTGTAATCAAGCAATCCCAAATACAATTAAAATAATTCTTTTAAGAAAATAGTAGTGGTAAAAAGTATTTCATGAAATAAAGTAAAACGCAACACATCTTAATCTTAATCAAACAGTTTAATTACATTACATAATTTTTTTATGTGTGCACATGAGTATTTTTTGTTTATTTCTTTTTTAATAATAACAATAATAATGTATAAAATAAATATTTTTAAAATATAAAAGTTGAAGTATAAATAATTACAAATTTGTAATATTAATATATACATAATTCAATGCCATCAAAATTAAGAAAAATGTTTTTAATAAAAATCATTTAATGCAATTATAATTTTTATTTGCAAATATGATAAATCTTGTTGATATTTATTTGAAAATATTTAAAATAAAAATTTAGAAATATAATAAATAAATATATCTTTTTCATTGTTCAAAAAGTTTGTCAACACTCATGCTTTATGTTATAGATAATAAATTTTAGATTATAGATAACTTGATAATTTTATTAATTTTTTATGAAATTTGAATTAAAAATAAATTATCATGTCTCCAATAAAAAACTATCATGTCAAGTAAAATTGATATTTTGTTTTAAAGTCTATTTTTTTATACAAAAAGAAAAGTATAAGGTTTTAAAGATGTATAAACAAATTTTTGGGTACATAAAGGTGTGTTAAAAATTGATATTAGTTAAACAAATTTTTGTAAAAGATAATAGTGGAAAAAATAATTTAAATAGATCAGATTCGTGATACACATTAATGATACGGATTTATCATTTTTTCTTTAAGAGATTTTTAATAACTAAAGTCAAATTAAAATTAGCATTTGGTTCGTATGTTTTCATTTGAATCACCTATACAACAATTTTTTTATCTATAGCGAAGATAACCTTACTACATCCCTCATTTCATGCCATCAGCAATCCTCAATAAATACCCCAAAATTTTGCTTAATATGTAGAAAAGTTTTCAAGTTCGACCAAGAAACAGCATTAGCAATTCCTAAAGTGATCATGAAAGACACCTTCAACAGTGGATTGATGGCGTTAGGTTCGATGAGCTCTATTAATGTTGAATAGCAACCAATCTTAAGGCAACAAAGACCATCTGATCAACAACTTTACGCGGGGATTTATTGAGCCTAGCATTTGTGGGAAAAGCACAACCAAGAATGAATAGTATCTTCAAGATACTTTTTAATTAAGATGATCTTTTTGGAAGTAACTATGTTGTGGTGGTTAAATATCATTTCATTGCTCCACTTCTAAAAAGGACTACACAATGATACCAATAACACACTCGGTGGGTATTGCAAGACGAGAAAATCTTGTTAGTACAAATGGAGTTTAGTTAGGATTCAAAGGAACCGACAAAATTAATTGCAAGGCGTGCCTTCATAGATGTTATCTTTAAGAAATATTTTGCCCCCATCACCTGATATGCAAATGAAAAATTATGCGAATAGTCTTAGGGATACAATAAAACTAATATCTAATTTCATCTTACACTTATAAGAGTAAATCACTAGATGCACCTGAAGGTCACAAAGTTGTTTAATCTTAGAGTTTACTTTCTACAGTAAGTAGTTGTAAGGAATTTAAACACTTTCAATAAACAATGGGAACTCCAAATGTTTATGTCTTTTTCTAAATTTTTTATTCAAAACATAACACTTCTTCTACTCTTATTTTTCTGCTCATGTTTTGTTTGATCGATGTGTTGAAATAGTTAGCAACAAGTCCTTTATATAAACTTGAAAATATCTTTATACCTTAAACACATCTTTGTATGTTACAAGATATAATTTTTGGATAAAAGTATTATTCCAATAATTACGTTAAGAAAGGATAACTATTCATACCATAATATATAACCTTTGAGCAACAATATGAAAAGATAATTTTTCATATCATAACCTTTTAATAATGGTGTTTTTCAACTATCCCATAAGTTTCAGATTTAGAGGTGTTTTTTCAATATATCACTTTATCAGAGACATAACTTTTGATATGAAAAACCATTAGCAATTCAATATTCACACTATGTGATATAATCTTTCAATTGATATCTCTTTCCAATAATTACAATTTTTCATATGAAAAAAGACATAACTTTTCAATTATTACTTTTCATTTTGCAAATACACCACAAACCTCCTTTGAGATTCTAAGTAAACCGCACTTAAGTAAATATATTTTATTATAGAAATTCATTCATAAATATAAAAATTGTATAATATCTAAAAAATTCTCTAACTATTCAAAACAATTCAAATAATCTCTTATATTTTTATTGCATTAAATTAAACCTTTATACTTTTATTTTGAGCCAAACAAACACTTATTTTTTTTATTTAAGTCAAATAAACTCATATGATTAATTATTGACTTAGTTAAAATACTATTTGTCATTCTATATTATATTGACATAACATATTAACATGTTATAATAACTGTTGGTGTGACATAATGACATGGTCATATTACATTTCTCATCTTCTACATCAATGTCTTGTGAGAATAAAATAATACAATAAATTTTAATTAATAACAATTAATCAACCATTAGTTATAAGAGTTTGTATGACTCAAAATAAAATATAAACGCTTGATTGAACGTAATAAAAAAATAAAAACTTATTTAAATTTTCTTGAATAGTTAGAAGTTTTTTCGAACATTACAACTATAAAAATTTTACTTGTGAGTGTACAAAGTAGTAATCTTTATTTTTTGGATAAATATACTTACTCTTTAACTTTTGACCATAATTACATACAAGTCAATTGGTATTCAAATTAAACAGTTATCCTAAACGTATAAACAACGTTAATGCTTAAATGTAAAATGTTTAAAATACTCTTTTTTTGTCTTCACTCTTTTCCTTTCTCTCAAGTTGGCTTGCAACGCTCCCTTATACCAACAGGCCACCCCATGGTTGGATTTGGCTATGGAATGCCAAATTCAGTTAGATCTCCTTAGGGGAGAGTGAGATCTGACGGTGCAACCCAAATTTCATGCCCCCTTGAAGAGTGTCAATCTAGTGCTCCCTTCAATCTAGCTAGATTTGGCGCTCTCCAACCAAATTCGATCTCAAGGTGGATGATCAAGAGAGATTTTTTTTTTAATAAGAGAAAAAAATTTAAAAAATAAAAAATTATAATTAATATAACGATAATTTTTAAAATTAATGAATAGCAAAGTTATCATAAAAATATTACCATGTCATCAAACTAACGAAAATATTGATAATAAATTAACAGCAAGACTTATGTATCCAATAAAAGATATTTTTTGAAACAAATTATCCATTTTGAATATTAATAGACTCGCATATAATTATGATTAAAAATTTTAAAAATCAATATATTTTACTCTTATTTTTTATATATCGTGAAAGATAATAATTTGTAAAGGTGTTGGATTATACATAATCATCACTTAAAAAATGTCATAGCTTGGATAGTCCAAACCTGAATGATTCCATTCGTAACAATTTAAATTTGAAAATAACTTGATTTTATTCATTCTATTGCCATTTCTATTCAATAAAAACCTCTTTTTTGAGTTTTATCTTCTTGTTCACTTTCTCATCTTAAGATTTATAAAATTTAATTAAAATTAATCATTTTAAATTAAAATCTCAAATTCTAACTACTAATCCTGAATTGTAATGAGACGATAATAATTACCTTTGCTAAACTACATAATAAATGGGTCATTTGATCAAAGAATATAATTCGTCATTATCTTTCTTGTTTTAGTAGACAATAGTAAGGCATAATTACCTTATTTAGCGTATTATATTGGATTTTGGAAGTTTCTACTTCCAAAATTATATTTAGAAAATCATAAGCATGATGTTTACAAAACTCATTAAAAAATTCAAATAAATTTCTTTTTTATTACATTATATTAAATTTTTATATTTTTATTTTGAATTAAATAAACTTTTAATTAATTTATTAATCAAAATATTACTCATCATTTTATTCTCATGAAATATTGACATAAAAAGTGATATATTATAACATGTCAGCATATCATATCAACATTACATAATATAAAATAATAAGTAACATTTTAATAAATAAATATTAGTTAACCATTAATTATAAAATATAAGAACTTGGTTGAATATAATAAAATAATAAATACTTAAATTTTTTTAAAATATCATCCCAAAGTTGTGTTTTGTATGGTTATCTTGGACAAATGGTTTATCCCTTACCTTCTTATATTCTCTTGAGGGTGCACTGCTACATGAATGTCATCTTCAATAATTCAACAATCGAGAACAAATGAATCAAATAGGCCACGCATATGACTGCCATCAGTTGCTGCTTAATTAGCAGATCAAACAGGGTATGCATATGGCTGCCATCATTTACTGCTTAATTTGCAGTCAGTCACTGCTTAATCCGCTGTCCAGAAAACACACCAGGTCTCCGATATTGAAAGGGAACCTGAAATTCAAATAAGATCTGTGGAATGAACTTCATCTTCATGCATGGTGATACCATTTTTTGGTTTTAGCTTATGAATTAGATATCTTATTTCTTCGCCATTAGATCCTTAATCAGCCCCAGTATCTCCTTTCTCATCTCACTGACCACTGATGGAGTAACCTGCTCCTTTACAGCAGAAAACCACAAATCAGTAGCATCTTTGTTTTCACTGCTTTCATGCCAGCAGCATATAGTTCTTGCAGTCACTGTAACATATAAGCCACAATCATAGCCATTAACTTGCTGTGGTGTGCCAATGCATTCCAGATACTTGGCATTCCATGCTGAACTGGATTCACCGACAAAACCAACGACAGATTTAAACAGCCTCATGGCATGCCTCTTATTCATCTGCCCATTGCTATCATGATGAACAAAGACATTAGCACTTCTGTAGTATGCAAGTAAGCTCCAGTGGCTTCCACCTTCAGCTATGCTCACATCATCGTTATTATTGACAGGAAATATCACCAATTTCTTATCTGGCAGTTTAAGGGGTTCCAAAAATTCTTTGAGACCACCAACATCAGGGCAGTTAGCTATCCAGAAAGCAATTGATGGTGAAAGCAATAGGATGTCCTGTGAAGGATGACTTGAAGATGGGAGACTGAAATAAAACTCAATGATTCTATCATTCAAATAATATGGACCACTGAGGATTTCCAAGTCAGATTGCCTGAGCACAACATCATTGTAACTCAGAATCTTTTCATCTGCAGCAGATTTTCCCATGCTCTAGATATCAATCTGTATTCCGGAAAAATAAACAAGCATGATGATTTAATTTACTTAAAAAGGAAAGAAGGAAGAAGAAGAAGAAGATTCTACAAACATAATAAGAAACCAAAAATTATATCTTAAATTTTTTATCTAGAAAGTAGGGAACATCAGCAGCAATGAATACAAGGAAAAGATTTATTAGCTATTCAAGTGCTAAAATTGGTTCAACTCTAAGTCCTGATCAGTAATATGTAACTAAGTAATCTTCAAAAAGACACATCAACCCTAAACATCCAGCAACTTGCAATAAATCTTAACTTTTTCTTTATACTTTTCTTGCATTATAGTAGCTTTAGAGTTGTCCACGCACAAAAAAAGGGGGGGAAGGGAATAGGAAAAGAAAAGACCCTCCATCCCTTAAGTTCATCAATTTGTCCCTAAATTATATTTTTAGCAGAAAGCACCTTCTTCCTCAAAGGCTTTGCAATAAAGTTACTAAAATTGAAAGAGGACTAATGCAAGATTTTCTGACTGAACGTGCACACACAAGAATATATGAAGAACAAAACCAACCCTAGCAAAAACAGTAGTTCAGTTCCACATTACTTGTTTTATCTAGAGCAAAATAAGCATGGCCTATGCTAAACCAATGCTACATTCTACTGATGACATATTGTAATACAAGTTAGACAACCAAGTAAAGTAATCCAGATATTAACATTCAAAGGCAGACCCAGTTAAGGTCAGCTCTATATGAACTGCAACAATTTATTCAGGCCAAAGGCAGCTCTCAGAATAAGAAGCCTTTCCCTTGTTAACCAGTACTCGTATACCTTTTGGAATAGACCCACCTTTCTGTACTCTAACCCTTATGTAAAATTCAAACACAAATCCACACAAACAACAAACCCAATCAATCCACTTGGGGAAGACTAAAGAGACAAAGAGGAAAAACCCAATATGAAGTAATCCTTATTCGTCACTAAGAAACAGAAAACAAATCACACACAAGTTGTTTTCTGGTTTTATTGATAGTTAAAGGGTAAGAATCCCTTGTAATTAATCTCGTATCCCCTCTGTTTAAACTCAAGATATCTAATCATAGGTAATTTCCGTCACTAATTCATTCACCTCGGATTAAACCTTCTGGTCCGTCTAAAGAGTAGATAAAGCATCATTATTAGTAATCATTCGAAGTAGAAGAGGAAAGAAAACCTTAAGAACAAAAAAAAAGCCAAAACAAATTGAAAACTTCAAAATGAACTTAACCCTCTTACCCAAAACGACGCCTGGGGATAAAGCGTACGCGTTATTCGCTTCCTGGATTATCACCGTCGACAGAACTATGAACTACAAGCACAGATGGTTTCTAGAAACGGACCAAGAAAGAAAATAAACCTTAAGAGTTAGAGGCCGATCTAATGCCCAAAACCATAAACAAACTAAATGGCCTTTTGAGGTTTTATTGGGGCTTCGCTAACCTTGGTATGGGTTTGGGTTGAGCTTTGGGAGTAGCCCAATTGCTTCACTTATTAGTTTACGGTTCCTGTTTTGTTTTGGGTCCAGGGTGTTGGCCGCCACTACTTATATCTTTATTATGTTTGAGTAGGATGTATGTATATATCTCGTACTTTAGAAGACCATATAAATATAGATTCTTAAATACAATGCACTTCCATTTATACTATTTGTTCCTGATGATGATTTTCATCTGTTTGATGAGGGAGAAGGGAAATAACAGAAGTATTCAAAGGAAGTTTCCGCTGTGTGTTGAATCGCCTTAAAATGGCAAGAGAACAACACAAGCACTAAATTTTTAAACAACCATACTGTCAACATCAGCATGATAGCTGGAAAATAGAGGAACACCATCGATGGAAGCAATTTCTGGTGGATATCAATTTATTTCAAAACCATTCGATTCAATAGCAGCAATATTATTAGGCTTTAAGGGATGCCCCTGCTTTCACAAGGTCTTCTAGTGTCTTCAAAATCTGAGGCTCGGTCAAACCTTCCAAGCGAATGCCCCTCTCCACGCCCATATCTGCAAAGAAACCAGATTGCATCAGGTGGATCTGATGCCACAAAACTTATCTACGTCACTATGTGCAGACAGCTTAGAACAACAGCATGGGGAAGAAAATAAGCTGGGTGGCACCCATGACACTCGCTTAGCTAGCTAGGGTCTTGCACAGACACTTAGGATAAATAACTACAAAGCAGGACAGATTTCACACCAAGATTTTGCAATCATTAAAGTAGTAAACAATTAAACCTTATTACTGCTACTATATGCTAAGAATAAATAAAAAATCTATCCAATCTCGTTTAGGCCTAGATGCTTAAATAAATAATCTTTAAATATGTGTGCAAAGAAAAGGCTATAAGAAAATGGATAACAATGAACTAAAAGGTATTTGTCGACTAGTATTAGTTTCGTTATCATCGGAACAGAGAACAATATTTCAGATAATCTCACTGCACAAAGGCAATAATGGTACCAAGTAGAAGATCATAAAATGCAAGCAGCATAAACTAAATAGATACAAAAGCAAGCAACAAACATCATTGCCTAACATAAATATGTTCTACAAACACTTCCCCTTGCCCAGTGGCTGAGCTACAGAATGAAGTCAAAACCCCCTCATTCTGGAACACCACAAAAGTTAATGGTGAGAATAATAAAATATAGCAAGTAATTTCAGTCTGATTCTTGTGTCCATGACCAAATGAACTTACTAAGCAAGCTTGCAACATCATGCAACATTTGAGGATAATCTTAAGGGGGAAGAAAAAAGAGAAGAAAGAGAATTGAATTCACCAGTCTACCACAAATTCACATCATAGAAATCTTGAAGTACCTTCTAAATCAAGCAGTCTAACCAAACATGCAAAGCAATAACTATGTAAAAATTCTAGATTTGACAAACCATACATATTTGAAGTACTCCATAGCATATTTTCTCTCTTTAATGAGTGATGACCCTCATTCATAGATTACCAATAGCTTGTTTGGGTAAGGAAGGCTCTTCCAACAAAAGAAGTCCTGCACCTGAGCATTTGGCTCATTGGTTGGTGCATGATCCTCTTGACTAAAGAGCAAGGTTCGAACCCCCCATCCCCCAATTATAAAAAAAAAAAAAAAGAAGTCTTTTTGGTCCATCAATTTTGGTCACTAAATCATCTTTTAAATTGCATTTGCTTGTTCAAGTTTAGCAAATTGTCTATTCTGATCATCTGATGAAAAGGGGCCTTGATTGTGGGCCATTAGGACATATTTAATGAATAATTGTCTATCTGCATTGTCCATCCTGCATTGTGAGGTCTCACACGTTGATGGGGAGCTTCATGATATTTGATTAGGTTCCAGTGTGGGGCGTTTACATCTGGGCGATGGCAGTTTGTTGAATGCAGTGTACTGTTCATAGAAACCGAATAAGCACATGCAAACAACCCTAGATAACCGCCCTTCCTTCTCTTATTCATGTTTAAACATTATCCCTTATATAAAATCTTTCACAAACCTTAATTCTACATGCTTCCTAATGCATTTCCCCCTAAAATCACTCAGCCAAAATTGACCCAAAACACACATCTCGCAGCTGTCAGCAAAATTGTTAACCTCAGGCCTAGTTTTCAGCCACTATTTTGTAATCCTTACCAACCTAAACGCAAACCCCACTTTCAACCATAACTAGTTTTCCTAAACCAACTAAGGCAGGTTATCTCAAATTTGCAGTACATTACCCATTGAACATTAAATTTTGGAGCATATCATTTTGAACGATGATAGAAACCAATATTGATTATAAACAGAAATCAGTCCCAACCAAACAATTTATTGTGTTTTAACAACAATTGACAAGAGCACAACATTTCTGTATTCCAAGGGCCATTACATTAGTAATCATTTCAATTAAAGTTTTCTCTTGTTTCTTAGTTCCTGCATATCCAGTATTCCCTGAAGCTCATTTTTCCCATTGTCATTAGAACTGAAACCACCTTTGATACGAGTAAAGTAGCATATAATAGCATCTTATGCTAGTAATGCTTCGAATACCTTGACCAACATCACACTGCAAACAGATGATGGCATGAAAAGACAGCAGGTAAATGCAGCTAGGGAAATGATTTAAGAAGAGTTACGTTATTTTGAACTATACTTAAAGTGAAAAACACTAGTTATCTACCAACAGTCCTCTTAAATTCCTAAATCAAAATTGGAAAAGCAAAACTTCAAAAAGAAAAACTTCAAAGATAGAAAAGGAAATCAAGAGAAACGGAGAGCAGAAGATATACCATATCTAGCCCACATCTGGGGCTCGATCCCACTGCATTCACGGATAAGGATTGGGAATTTGGGGTTTAACGTCTTGAGATCCTTGTAATTTTTCTCCACGAATGACCTATTACCACCAAAAAGAAATTTATTATATTAAGTTTTTTTTTGTTAAAAAAGAAAGAAAGAAATGTTAAGTTTAGATTGAGGAAAATGGGAAAAGAAACCTAGCGCAGGCACTCGCATCGGATTTTTGGCAAAACAGAATTCGTAGTTCTTTGAGGTTTCGCGATAATTGGCCTCTCCACGCCATTCTTTCTTTTCTGTACTATCTGATAACAAATTCAACACTTGGGTTCGAAGTACCTTGAAAAGGTGGTGGAGCGTTTGAGAGGAGAGATAGGGGAGACTCGGGAAGAAGAAGAAGAAGTGCCCAAGATAACAGAGAGCGTGTGGGGATAAATATGTAATTTCAACCTAATCTAAGCAAGAAAGGCACATGAGAGCACTGTAAATTTTTAACAAAACTAAATAAAGAATACTAACTTCCATTTTTTTTTTTATAAAAGTTAGCTATCATTATGTAAATATATCATATCTAAATGTTACAAAAATTAAGCACTTGTTATTATTATTTATGTTATTTTTATTTTGATATAAAAATCAATATTTGTGTGAGTTTTAAAAATTAAATTTTCTTCAAATGCTATTAAGTTTATTCATTTATGTTCATTAGACAGAATTGAATTGGATTTAAAACTTGTATATAATTATGGCACTTCTTATGTAATTTATGCCTCATATTATATTTATTTACAATTTATATAATTTTATATATTAGAAATTTTTTAGTTTAAACCTTACATTAAGTTTTATTATTAAAGAGAATTATTAAGTTTTTTTTTATCATTATTGTTAACATTTATGTTAAGATTTTATGAAAATTGATTTGAACTTTACATTGATTTCCTACTTGTTTATGTAAACCTATTATCAACTTATATGTACTTATTTTTATCTTTCATTATGTTTATAATTATCATAATTTATTTTAAATTAATTATGATATTTTTTACTCATGTTGTAGTGAAGGTGACGTGATTTTATTTATATTCTTACATGTTTATTGTAATATTTGAAAAAGTTTAATGTTTATAATTATAACTATTTATCTTAAGTTAATTACAACACTTTTATTTTATTCTCACATATTTATATTAATATTTTTAAAATATTATTCTTAAACGTTAGCATTTTATTTAAATGCATAAAATTATATTTTTTTGGTAAGAATTCTTTATTGCTAGTTTGAAGGATACATTTTTTAAAAAATTTTGAAAAAATTAAATATTAAAATTTTCTATTTTACATTAAATTAGATAACATTTTAACTTTTATTATTATATATTTACGTTAAGTTTTTAAAAAAGTTAATTTCAATTTTATGATTCATGTATATATGTCAAATGTTACGGTTTTTTATTTTTATTCCCAAACATTTACATTAAACTTTAAAAACTATTATTTTTTTAACATTAAGATTTTATTTAATTGCATTAAATTATAATTTTTGTGCAAGAATTATTGGTTACTAGTTTGAGAAATATATACAAATTATTTTATTTTTTTACAATAAACTAAATATTAGATTTTTCTATTTTATAATAAATTATATGATTTTTTCCATTATTATTTTTGAAAAACTAATTTTTTTACGGTGTGTGTTACTTATTTACATCAAACTACAATTAGGTTATACTTCTTCTTACATTTCACTACATTTAAAATCATTATAATTTTACTTGAAATTGATTACAACACTTTTCAACCATGCATTTCACATAAGATGTTACATATGCTTATCCTTGTTCTCATATGTTTATATTAAATTTTTAAGAGAAATGTTATTTTTTAAAAAATAATATTTTATATAATTACATGAAATTATTTATTTATTTTATAATAATTCTTTGTAGTTAGTTTGAGAGATACAAAGTACTTAAAAAGGTTTTTTAAAAAAAAAATCTAAATATTTAATTTTTGGTTTTACGATAAATGATAAGATTTTTTCTTTTATTCTTACACATATACCTTAGAATCTTAGGAAAGTTAATTTCAATATTATGGTGCATCTTACTTATTTACATTTAACTATAATTATGTTATACTTACTCTTACTTCCATTACATTTAAAATCATTATAACCTAAGATAGATTGGTTAAAATTTGGTGATGCTAATTCCAATTTTTTCCATTTTTGTGTTGCTTGTAAAAGAAATAAGCATAAGATATTGAGATTGCGATATTTGGAAAGGAATTGGTGTGATGACCAATTGTTACTTCAAGATCATGTAGTTTCATTTTTTAAACAATTGTATTTAAAAGAGAACGGTGATGTGTCGTGTTATCCTATCAAGGATATGTTTTCTAATCTTTCTATAAATGATTAATTGAATTTAATAAGATCAATTGAGTAGCAGAAAGTTCATATTGCTTTGTTAGAAATGAAAACAATGAAGGCTCTTAGACTAGATAGCTTGCACGTGGCATATTTTCAATCTCAATGGGCTGTAGTAGGTTAGAGTTTGATTATATGTATAATGTGTTTGAGGGGTTGAAATTGGTAAAGATATGTGTAGTTCTCTTATTGTTTTGATTTCGAAAATAATTGCTTCAAAATTCAATTTTTAGTTTCAACTGATCAATTTATTATCTGTTGTTTTCAAGGTGTTACTGAAAGTTATCACCAACAAATTGAAACCTATGATGAGTTAGATAGTGTCAAGTACACAAACCAGTTTCATTTCGGGTAGGCAAATCATTGATATTATTATTGTTGCTCAGGAAGTGAGGCACTCATTCCAAAAGAAGCTAGGCAAGACAAGTTGGATGATGCTTAAAATCAATCTAGGAAAAGCATGTGATAGATTGAGTTGGGATTTCCTATATGATACTTTTAGACACCAAAATTCCATATAAGATTGTGGACTTATTGGTACGTAGTTAGGGAGGTAGCAGTACTAAATTGTTATGGAATGGTTCATTCACCTGCTTTTACACCTTCATGAGGAACACATCAAGGTGACATTGTCTCCATATTTATTTGTACTCTATTGCTTATGGGATTAATGTAGTTGTTGCATAGGGTTTATGGAAGTCAATTAAACTAAGCCCCATATGTCCATCTTTAACTTATTTTTTTTTTGCAAATGACTTGCTGTTATTTATCGAAGCCTCTGTTGATCAAATAAAGATTAGCAGACTTTTGTGCATGTTTTAGACAAAAAATGAGTGTAGATAAATCACTTTTTATTGTTTTAAAAATGTGAGCATTGCTTGTGTAAGCAGTATGTAGAATTGTTTGGGCTTCCATTACTTGAATGATTTAGGTAAATACCTTGGGGTTCCATCATGCAGTGGCTGAAAAAGATATAGCACTTTTTCATATCTGATTGATAGAGTGAAGAACAAACTTACTACGTGGAAGGCATCAACACTTTCATTTATAGGACGTTTGACTCTAATTACATTGGTGCTTATGGTTATTCCCACTGATGTTATGCAAGCCACTTCTATTCCTTTAACTACATATGTGGTCTATTCTCCCTCTATTTCTAGCTGTTAGTTATAACTTCGTTTGGTTTAATAGTGCAACAAGTAATAGTAATTATTCAGTAATACCTATTATTTAAAATGGGTAAAAACTCCTCTTTAACTAAACCAGATCTTTCCCTCGGTATTATCTATTCCATGTCTCACGGAATAGCTGTTAACTTGTTATGACTAAATTACCCTTATTAGATTTAAAAAATTACAATCTTATCCATATAAAATATTTTTCTCTCTTTTCTGCCTTAGTTTCTTTCAATCAGTCGCATGGTTCTCTTTCACGATTTAGGGTTCCACCAGTAGCATGACTTCTCTCATCCACCTTTCCAGTTACATTACTTTTTTCCATACTCCAAGTACTTACTTATTGTGCTCTTGTTTTCCGTTGAAGGTGGAAATGACCCAATGTTGAATTATTTTGAAAATGATGTGATTTGCTTTTATTTGACTTGTGTGTTTCTCGATATTTTGTTTTTGGGTTGAGTTTGTTCTCCTTTATTTCTTTGATTCATTGTCAATATTATAAATTATGCTTAGTAGCTGTGATTTGGGAAAAGTAATGCCATCCTTCCCGTCATCATCTTCAACTACTATGATTTCTTCTATAACTTTACAATCAATTATACTCATTATTTCAAGTTGCTCCATGCTATTAGTAGTAGAAGATGTTATCAAATTTATAAGTCCGTGACACTTTGACATTTCCTAATGTTTGAAAAGATTTTGAAAAGATACTGAAGAATGCACTAAACTCTTTAGTTTGTTACATCCCAATATTTTTTGGGTTTTCAAGTTTTAGAACATTGATCTGGGTTAGAACTTTCCCTTCCAAAGATGTGTCAACTTAAGAAGTTTAGATAGGTTTAATTCGTGAAGTTGATTTAGTGTCCATGCATGCTTTTCCTCACCATCTAATTCTTCCCTTTGGAATATTTCACTAAGGAAGCATCACTCACAATAAGCTTGGGAATAGAGGAAAAAGACCATAAGAAGAAAGATGAAAGAATAGTTGATTGCTTAGGTAAGCATATGAGCTTCAAGACTTTTAGTTTGGGGAAATACTGAACAGTTGGAAGTTGTCCAAGCCAAATCTTTTTCATAAAAGATTTTTGTTCCAACCATAGTTCTTCCAAGGAAGGAAATATCACCTAGAAATTGGAGAATTAATGTGCCAAAACAAAACCAAGGGATAAGTAGACTCGTATAACTAACAATTGATAAATTGTAATTAGTCAAAATGTCACTTGTTATTTTATATCTATTTGGAGTTGATATAACATAGATGTGGTGGGTGAAAAATGTCACATGATTATATAATCATGCCATTTTATCGTCCATCATGTTATATCAGCGTCACGTGACATAAAATGATAAGTAATATTTTGACTAACAATTAGACAATCATTAGTTATAAGAATTTATTTGACTTAAAATAAAAGGATAAGAATTTGATTGATTGTGATAAAAAAATAAAAATTTATTTGAATTTTTTTAAATAATTCAGAAATTTTTTTAAGTATTATACATTTAGGTGGCATTTGTAATTTTATAAGGAATGTGATTATTGAGAAGATAACTTTACAACGTTTGATATAATATGAAAAAGTAAGTATTACAGGGAATGTGATTGTTTGGAAAATTAGATTGAGAATACAATATAAATTTACAAAATTAGTCATATATATGAAATATAAAATTAAATAAATTAACATTCTTTTTTTAAAAATTTTTAACTTTTCAATTTATTCCTTAAAATAATAAATCATGTGAAATTACTAAATATTTATTTTAATAAATTAATTAAGTTTTAAAGAATT